ACACACATGCACACACACGCACGCACCGGCCCCCCCATGAGGTATGACTACCACTGGCTCCTCGAGGGCCTTCCGTAGGAGTCTGGAGACTAGCCAGTCAGATTGGCCTCTGCCCTTTTGTTCCACTCTCTACTCTCTCTGCCTGGACAAACAGGTCACAGATAGGAGGGGCTGCTCCACTTCCCCTTTGCCTCTCCCACCACAGCTGAGGGAGGAGCTAGGCTAAGTAGCACCTAAGCTGTGGGTTGTGGGCTGTGCCTAAGAGAATGTAAAGGAAGAATGTGAATTGTTGGCTTGTCTTTTGATAAGATACGGGGTAGGGGACACCCTGGTGGCACTCCAGCTAAGCGTTGGGCTGGTGGTTCAGACCTTTCAGCTGCTCTGATGGAGCTAAATGGAGTTGTCTGCTCCTGTCAACGTTTACGGCCTCAGAAACCCCGTGAAAGGCCATTGTGAGTGTGAGCCGGTGGCAGTGAGTGCCTAGGGTGGACAGTCAGCGGGAGAGAGGAGAACTTGGGCAGGCTGAGGGAATAGCTATAGCCAGTCCGAGAGCCCTCAGGTGAGGCCCTCCCGAGGTATGTGGTCTGACTGGGGGTCATGGGCGGGCCCCACTGATTGGTCTGTAGGCAGCCTGCTCAGAGCACCGATTTAGCCTCACCTTCCCCTATAGGTCTGACTTGGAACTGCAGTTCAAATGCTACCACCACGAGGACCGGCAGATGAACACCAACTGGCCTGCCTCCGTGCAGGTCAGCGTGAACGCCACGCCCCTCACCATCGAGCGCGGCGACAACAAGACCTCCCACAAGCCCCTGCACCTCAAGCACGTGTGCCAGCCGGGCCGGAACACGATCCAGATCACCGTCACGGCCTGCTGCTGTGTGAGTACAGTGCCGAGAGGCCCTTGCACAGGCTGGCCTCCGTTCTTGCCATTGGTGAACCTCCATTCCCCACTGCCATACCTCAGCCAGCGGCCAGGTGACCTCTTAGAAATATCACTCACTGGGCTTGTGGAGGAGAGCAAGGACGAACATTCACACCCACTTCGGTGCCCTGATCATCGGACCTGGCCTGTCCCCTCCCCCTGCTGCCTCTGTTCTCCTCCATGCACACACTGTACTTGACTCCTCCATGTGGCCCTCACAGCTTGCTTTCTGCTTGAGAAATTTGCGTAGACGGACTGCCCAGTGCCCAGGCCCACTTCTACCCCACCTGCAGTTTCCTGCCCCTTCTTCACCCAGCCCAGCATATCACATACTCATGTGGGGGCCCTGGATCTGTAGCTTCGAGAAGGGGTGGTATCTTGTCCAGGGGTCAGGGCCTGGCTGGCTGTGGCCCCATTCTGCTGGGGAACACAGGTGAAGTGGTGACTTCTGACCCTGTACATGAACACAAATGCCACAGCTGTTGGGTGTGGGCACACGTGGGTGTGCCAGACCTGGAAGGCTTCGTGGAAGGTGGACTAGAGATAGGACAAAGACATCTGGCCGGAAGGGCAGACAGAGGACTCCTGGTGGGGACACAGAGGGCTCCACACCTGGTACCGTGTGTCTGTCAACTCAACAGAGGGGTGATTCAATGTCAAAGTCCTGTGTTGTCATATTCAAGCAGTTAGTTGTCCAGAATGGTGACCTCAGCCTTTAAGGTTCTCCCAGGCCCAAGTACCCTCTCAAGTGGCCTGGCTGTGGGGCGTGGGGCCTCGGGGGACCACAGGGCAGAGGTGAGTGGCCACTCTCTCTTGCAGTCCCACCTGTTCGTGCTCCAGCTGGTTCACCGGCCCTCCGTCCGATCCGTGCTACAAGGGCTCCTCAAGAAGCGCCTCCTGCCTGCCGAGCACTGCATCACAAAAAGTGAGTGGGCCGGAGCACAAGCCCAGGTCCCCACCCCGCACCCCCACACGGAAGGGTCGATTGCCCAATGCAGAGCAGGTCAGGCATGCAAGCAGCAGCCGTGTGGGTGTGAGGCAGGCAGCACAGGGGCCACTGCAGGGAGCGTGGGGTCCCCAGAGCTAGGAGGCCCTCTGCTGGCCTGCCCTCACCTCTCTGTGCCTCCACCCCTAGTCAAGAGGAATTTCAGCAGTGTGGCTGCTTCATCGGGCAATACGACCCTGAATGGGGAGGACGGCGTGGAGCAGACGGCCATCAAGGTGTCTCTGAAGTGCCCCATCACGTTCCGGCGCATCCAGCTGCCCGCCCGAGGCCACGATTGCAAGCACGTCCAGGTGAGCCACCCAGAGCAGCCTGTGTAGTCTGATGGGGGCCCGTGGGTAGCCTCATAGGCACTGGGGGATCAGTTCTGAGGTCTCTTGCTTCTTCGCTCATTGCACCCATTTCTTTATGCTCTGAACATGCTCAGTACTAGATTCTCTTAGGCCAGGCTGACTAGAGAAACAAATCCGGTGACACTCATATATGTGTAAAAGAGAGCTTTATATCAAGCAAACATCCCAGCCCAGTGCAAATCAAGTCCATGAGTCCCGTACCAGTCCATAAATCCCTCTTCAGACTCATGCAGCCACATGCAATGATGCAGAATGCAGCAAGATGACAGGCCAGTGGGTGCAAAGTCTTGTGGAATCAATGGCATGGATGCATCACAGGGCTGGCCCAGGTCTCCTGTGGCAACAGGAAGGTGAAAGGAGAGAGAGAGGAAATTCCCAGGATCTTCTTTCTGAGAAGGCCATGCCCACATGGAGGCCCCATCAGGCTGTGACCTGATTGACAAGCTAGACTCCCCCCATATCTTCTTACAGGTGCTATGTTGGCACCAAAAAACCTAACAATCTCATAGATTCTTAAGGGCTCTAGAAAGTGGTTAGACCATCCTTGGCCTGACAAGTGCCAGCTACTAGATGGGAGCCAGCACACACAGCTAGCTAGGGCAGGAAACGGGGTGCCGGCCTTCCTGCTGTGGCCCAGGTCCTTCTTCCTCTGCAGGTCTCTCCTGGACCCTCTCTCCCTGGTTCCGTCCTGCAGGGCTGGCCTCTCACCCTCCTCTCTAGAGAGACCTCCCTCCCCACTGGGGCTCTCCTTGCACCCTCATTCACACTTCTGGAGGCTCTCCCTGGGCCGGGCCGTTGGTCCCCAAGTACATGGTAGTGGGGGGGAGCCTCCTTTCCTCAGGGGGATGGGAGGAATGGTGATGTTGGGAAGAGAGGGATTCTGGTGGCTGAGCTAGACAGGGCGCCTGAGGCCACACTGCTCCCAGTCCCCAGAGTGACTGCCACTGAGAGTTGCTGCCTCGCCGGGGGCTGGGGGTCGGGAGGCAGGAAGTCACTGGATTCCGATCGTTTCTGGACGGCCCTGGCCTTCATTTGTCTGTCTGTCTGTCTCTCGCCCTGGCTGCACAGTGCTTTGATCTGGAGTCATACCTGCAGCTGAACTGCGAGCGAGGGACCTGGCGGTGTCCTGTGTGCAAGTGAGTAACACTGTCCCTCACAGTAAAGGGGAGGCCCAGCTGCTGCCAAAACACGCCCAGAGGCTCAGATGGACAGGCTCTAGAGTGCCTAGAGCCAGGGCTTGTTGGCATCTAGCGGGGGGCAGGGATACCCCTAAGCTCAGGAGCAAAGGCCAAGCCCTTCCTTCTCCTTTTCCAGTAAAACCGCTTTGCTGGAGGGCCTGGAGGTGGATCAGTACATGTGGGGAATCCTGAACGCCATCCAACAGTAAGTGGACGGGCTCCCTGAGAAAGGTTACGTGTGGGATGGGGGTGGAATGCTGGCCTGTATTGAAAATAGGGGGGTGGCATGTAGACAGCCCCCCGCCCCACAAAGTAGGCAGATGAACTACCCACAGTCCTTACCCCTCTAACTTTCGGGCCTGGAGATGAGTCTACCCTCAACTGATAGGGCCTGTCACAGTGTCCCGCAGCGGATGGGAGGCCTTGGGGCCAGATGCCCCCATTCCTGCCCAGCTGCATGCTTCCTTAATCTCAGTCTCCCTGACTCTCAGAGATGGGAACATGCATGTCACGCTTCTGCCTTCCATGAGGTTTCATGAACGAGGATGGGGGAGAGGGGAGCCTGGGTGGCTACCATGTGGGAGCATCCTGTGTCTAAAGGTGCCCCTACCGCCCCTCTTGCCCTGCAGCTCTGAGTTTGAAGAGGTCACCATCGACCCCACGTGCAGCTGGCGGCCGGTGCCCATCAAGTCAGACCTGCACATCAAGGACGACCCTGACAGCATCCCCTCCAAGCGGTTCAAGACGATGAGCCCCAGCCAGATGATTATGCCGAATGTCATGGAGATGATCGCGGCCCTGGGCCCCGGCCCAGCTCCCTACCCACTCCCGCCCCCGCCTGGGGGTTCCAGCTCCAGTGACTACAGTAGCCAAGGTGGGTGCTGCTGGACTGGGGCAAGGTCAGGGGTAGGGCAGCCCCAAGTCCCCAAAGAGCCCTGGGACTACAGGGGTACCTGGTATGAAGAGGCAGATACAACACAGCCTCAAAAACTGTCCCCAAGTCCCCAGGCCTGGGGATGCAGTGGCCCCTGCAGACACCCACACCTCCCTTCTTTGTCCTCCTGACTTGGTCCTACCTTATTGGCTAGCACCCAAGCAGGTGTGAGTGGAGAGCCATGCCAAGAGCCAGCCTCGTGCCGCTCCACGCGGCCTCAGCCTCCTCACAACCCCAGGAGCCCACAGGGACAGCTGCTTAACCGAGGACGTGGCTGGTACCAAATCTGCGCATCAGAGCCTGCTGTGCTTGGTGCACAGTCGCCACCTCCCCCAGCTGCTAATAGAAACCACAAGGCCAGGGCTTTTAGCCATCCCCAGTATCATACGCACTGTCTCTGCCCCTGTCCTCGCCCACCCACGCAGGGACAGGGCCCTGGCTCTTACAGCTCTCGCCTTTGGCCACCTGCCCCAGAGGGTCCCTATCACTGGCCCTTCCTGCCCTCCTTCTACCAGACCTCCTAGGAAGTACCAGCCCCGCTCTCACACAGGGCCTAGCCTAGGTTTCAGGACTCTGGGTCAGATAGCCTGCTGGGCCCCTGACTTCTTGCTTAGCCACCTGGTGGAGACCAGAGAGGCATGATGCTGACGTCTCCCAGTATCATCTAGACCCGATTCCACTTTCTTTGTGGACATAGGCCGGTTCTAATGGCCCGCTTTGGCTATGGTCTTCCCAGCGGGAATTGAGGCCCCATGGGGCAATGGGGGAGGATCTGGGAGAGCTGCTCAGCAGATCCTGAAGGCACTTCCTGTCGTCCACCCCCTACCCCCCAACCCCCAGCAGCACCACCCTGGAGTTAAGAACAAAAACACTCAGCTATTGCTGTAACCCCTCTTCACACCTCCTTCCTCCTGGGTGACCACTCCTTCTCACCCCGCCCCCAGGCAACAACTACCAGGGCCATGGCAACTTTGACTTCCCCCACGGGAACCCTGGTGGGACAACCATGAATGACTTCATGCATGGGCCCCCCCAGCTCTCCCACCCTCCGGACATGCCCAACAACATGGCCACCCTTGAGAAGCCCCTCAGCCACCCGATGCAGGAAACTGTGAGTACTTCCTCCACCAGTCCAACCACCCAACCTCTCTCACCCTTTCACCTGAGCCAGCCTCCTCCTGGAGCCGACGGGGCACAGGGCTCCCCTGGGGAATAGTCTAGTCGAAAGGGAGGCTTCATAATCAAGCCTGGGGGCTTAGAAGGAAGTAAGCGGGTCTGACTGAGGCCTGTGCACATCTCTGCCTCTCTCACGTGGGACCCGCCCTGCACATCCACATCCTACCACCTGGGCAGTGAATGTTCAGGTTGTCACACTTGTTGAAACAGAGGCATGGATGAGAAGCCTCCTCATCTTGAGTATGACTGTCTTGTTCCGTCAAACACATCCTGGGCCATCTAGAGGTCTCCCTACCCACGGATCCCCAGTGGGAAGTGGCTTGACTGGTGACATGAGTCAGCATCTACAGAGGGCTCCACTGAGGTTGGAGGGCAGGCCTTGTCCTAAAGGAGCACGAGCTCCAGCAGTGCCTGGGTGGAGAGAGGACAGTTGACATTCTGGATAAACCTAGACTAAAACTGCCAAAATAACACAAAACATCAATCAATTTGCTGTGGGTCTCTCCCTAAGAGGAGGAGGAGGAGGAGGGACAGTTGGTGGTGGCCTGACAGTGGCCCTTGAACCACATCAGCCCAAGAAGAGAGCGCCACAGGTCTTGTTAATGCTTGGCAGTGGGATAAGGTGGGCCTAGAGGCTCCACTTGAGGCCCTCCTTGCCCTCCATGGTAGGGCCTGTGGTTGGATAGTCCCCTGACTCCCTGTGTCTCAGGCTTCCCCAGCCTCAGCATGTGCACCACAGAGACATGGATACGGCGCTGTGTAAACTTTCCACAGGTTTCCAAAAGACAGAGTCTGAATTATGAAGGGCTTCCAAAAACCCTGTTCTCTTTTGACTCCATTTTACCACAAGCATTTTGAAGAGAGTTCTGAGAGTTTGACTGAGTTTTTACAGGTTACTTACTCTCGGCCCCTTAGGGATTTCAACCTGTGGGGGCCTCTCCTGCCCCAGTGCCTCAGGCATGCCACCAGGCCTGAGATCCCCATTGCCTAGCAAGCACACTAGCACACACCCCAGCTCTCTGACCCCTCACTAGTCCCCACCTGGACTGTCGCAGTGGGAATGCTAGGTTCTCCCCCGCTTCCTGGGGTCCCTTCCAGCGAGTTAACTTCCAAGCTCCCCAAGGTACTTGCTCATTATCCCTGTCCATCCTCCTTTGTAGAGTCTCACTAGAGGAGAGCTGGACTCAAAAGTATGATATACACGAAGGGGTCGGGCGAACCTAAATAAACCCTACTCCCCTGCCCATGAGATGCGGGCTGGCCCTTGGCTGACCAGCTACTCTGGGCCTGGCAGGAGAAGCCCAGGAGGCACCAGTCCACCCTGCAGCCTTCTTGTGCCAGCGGGCAGCTGGTGGCTGTGTGAGCAGGAGAACGGGCACGTGCCCTCCAGACCACGAGGCTCTTCAGCAAGAAGGACTGGGCGAGGGGAGGATGCCAGTGATGTGTCTGAAGATCTGAGAGTTGTCTGTGCTGTCTGCCCTGCTTCCTCAGTGTGGGCACTGAGGGGTTGTCCACAACACCACAGCCTACCCACAGGCATGGGCCAGAGACCCAAGCTGGCCCCGCACGGACAGCCGGTGGCTCAGTCCTCCAGCTTCCCTGTATACACATCCCAACAAGCCCCCGCGGGTCACAAGCCACAGAGCCAGGTAGTTATCCCTGCTTTTAGGGCACTAAGTCATGGGGGCCTTGCCCTCTGAGGAGGGTCCATGGGCCATGTGTGTGCATAGGGGCCATGCCGGAGGAGCAGCTTTGAGGAGCAATAGGAAGGGTGAGGTATTAGAGAGCAAGTTTAGGAGATTCTGGCTTGGCGGGGGCCCTGCTTCCAAATCCACGAAGGGAGAAAGTGCAAGCCTATGCCGTGTCTTCCAGAGGACACTGGGGGCAGAGACAAGCAAGGGTAACTTTGTCATCCAGGTCAGTCCTCCAACCAAGGGCCATGGTGGGGTCTCAGAGAGCGGAGAGGCGGAACTGAGACCCTTCCGCTAGGCCTTTCACTCACGAGAGCCAAACTCTGAAAGCTCTCTGCCGCCTGCCAGCAGCACACATCCCAGCAGGCCCTCCATTGCCCACGCTTTTAAAATGGGCACACCTGAATGGGGCGATCCCTAATACGCCTGCAAGGGAAGCCTCCAGCTTCCTCCAGGACCCCTGATGGTGCTCCTGCACGTGGGTCCTCCATGTCGTTGAGGTGGGGGGACACGGAGCAACCTCCTTCCTTTCCACCCTGCGGATAAGCCCTGTCACTGACAGGGCAGGGTAACCCCCTTGCCCAGGACTCAGCTACCCGCCCCTTCTCGGCTGACCTTCCCCTTGGCCTGGTTTCACCCTCAGCCCACCTGTTAGGCAGGAGGCCTGGCCAGTCACACCCCAGGAAAATGCTAGCAGGGAGTCCCCACGTCCCCAAACCCGAGGTGGGGGAGCTACTGCCTGGAGCAGACTGTTTGGGGACTGCAGCCTGCTCCTGAGTGCACGTCTGCCCCGTGCTCTGTCATGTCCGCCGCCCAGCACTTGGGCCTGCACCACGCTGCTAGTAGCACCGCCTCCCTGCTCCCAGAGACCTGACTGTGGCTTCTCCACCCACTCTCGCTCCTGTGCCTCAGGGTGCTGGTGTCCAGGGTGGGCGCCGAGGGGCCTGGCCTCAGCTCTCCCTGTCTGTGCCTGTGTCAAAGCCTCCCCACCCCCATCCCCGCTTTCCCTTACCCACCCTCCCTGTGGATGGTTTTTGGGGAGGTCGGTTCTTGTTTCTCTGCAAGAAAACATTCCGCTTTGTAAAGGGGTGGCTTTGAGTTTGTTTTATTTATTTACTTATTTATTTGAATTTCCTTTATTCCTGGTTTGGTTTGGTTTTCATTTTCTCCAGGCATCTTGTCGCTATACCTGGTCACCTCACCTTTCTCCTGCTCTCTCGTCCTCCACAGATCCCCCACGCTGGCAGCTCTGAGCAGCCCCATACCTCCATACAGCAAGGCTTGCACGTACCACACCCCAGCAGCCAGGCAGGGCCTCCATTACATCACAGCGGGGCTCCTCCTCCTCCTCCTCCTTCCCAGCCACCCCGGCAGCCACCACAGGCCGCTCCCAGCAACCATCCACACAGCGACCTGACCTTTAACCCTTCCTCAGCCTTAGAGGGTCAGGCCGGAGCGCAGGGAGCATCCGACATGCCGGAGCCTTCGCTGGATGTAAGTTGGGGTCACCACTTGCCTTGACCTGGTGCTAGGCTTGGCACCAGGACCTGCTCAAGAGACGGGGTGGGCGGTGAGGGCAAGAGGTCCCGCAGCCTCCCCATGGGGCATTGAGTGGGCACTCGCTGGCCTCCCCTGGCTCCTGACCAAGGACGCCTCTTGGAGGGGGAAACATCACCCAGGGTTCGAGTGTGAGTGTCCCCCCTTCACTCTCCTGCCCCTGTTCCCCCACCCCCACCCCCACCCCGGTCCCTTGACTGTGTCCCGCCCCCTAGTTTTGTTCTTCCGTAGTTCCTTCTACGCAGGCATTCCCACAGTCTCCTGGCCGGAGGTTCCAGAGGCCACCCAGGAGGGTTGTCCTTCCTTCCCCCTCCCTTCTCCCCTACCCCCCAGTTGAGCTTTCTGTCCATGTCCATAGCACAGGCAGAGGAGGGCTGGGGTGGTAGGGCACCCCTGTCTGTCTCTAGCGTGTGTCTCCCTCCAGTGTTCTTGTCCATCTGTCGTCCATGCCCTGCTGCTTCTGCTTGCCCTTCTGCTTCGGCTCACTCCACAGGCTCCCATGTGGGTGCTGAAAGGGGGCAGTGAGATCTGCCTCGGGCCATGGCCATGGGGAGGCCGAGTCACAAGTTGAGTGGGGGCGTGGGGGCAACAGCAGGTTGGAGTAGGCAGCTGGGATTCAAGGGCCTCCTTCCTTGAGGCCTGAATGTTCTAAAAAGCTGTGAGCAGACACTGAGAGATTAGAGGGGGGTTCAGGTCAGGCTTGGGTAGGTGCACAAGGTTGGCCAGGAAGGGACTCGACACGTACTCCCTCGCCTCATTCCTGGGAACCAGGGCCTGCGCTCAGCCTTTGCCCTGTTCCCACTCCTCTCCTGGGCCACTCCACCTTCACGTCCGTCCGCTCCCAGCTGTGCAGCCCGCTCGGCTTCTCCCACAGCTCTCCCCATTGGTGATCCCCTGGATTCGTGGTCGAGAAGAGCACCAAGGCCTTCCCTGCAGTAGAGGATAGGGACAGCTCTGCCTCCCACCGAGGACGACGTTGCCTGTCGGCTTCAGAAGGAAAGGGCCCGCAGGGCTAGGATTCGTTGGACAGGGCGAAGGCAGGAAACTGTTTTGGCCTCCTGGTTTCCCGCTTAGTGGCGACTTCAACTTCTTCCTTCCCACCTGCTCCCCTTGCTACACATGAAGCATGTGCACCCCCGCCCCCGGGAGAGCACACAGATCCGGAGGAGACCCCTGACTCCTGGGGGGCCTTCCAGACACTGGGGTGGGGAAGGCTCTTGGCCATACCTGACAGAGGCAGATCCAGCTCAGGTCTCAGCTGACGCGGGGAGGGCCCTCCTCTCAGGCTGATGTGAGAGTGGGTGGGCCCCAGAGAGGCCCAATGACTGTGCCCGTGGGGCCAGCCAGCGGACTCGGTCCAGCCCTGCGTGCTCCCGTTCTTTGGGCCGGACCCCAGGAGGCAGGTGATGGGGAATGTCCAGGCCAGGGAGGCCATAGGCGTCCTCATACAGGGCAGGCCCTTCTGCCAACACCTCACCTGTACTTCTATGCTTTTATTTTCTAGCTCCTTCCAGAACTCACAAATCCTGATGAGCTCCTCTCATACCTGGATCCCCCAGACCTGCCAAGCAATAGTAATGACGACCTTCTGTCTCTCTTTGAGAACAACTGAAGGCCACCTCTGTCAGGCCAGTCCTTCACTTGGCCTCCTTCTCCGCCTGTCCCCACACTTTGTACCAGGGAGCTGTGTGCTCGGACCGCTCCCCACCTGCAACCTCGGGTTCTGGGGAAGAGAGACCTCCACTGGTACCCCTGGCAGGATGGGGGGGTGGGGGTGTCAGGTGCACCAAGGAAAGCTGAGCCCCATCTCACCCTCACCTGTTGCCCTGGGTGCCACCCATGCCCGGAGCAGTCCCCAAGGAAGACCGTGACGAGGCAGGGCCCGTGAAATGAACACAGGTGAAGCCGACGTCCTGGCCCCTCTGCAAAGTCACAACTCCTTCTAGTGCCCTAAGCTCTTCCACTCTGAACCGTAACCCTGCCTCCTTGCTGCCTGGCCCCGAGCCTCCTGCCAGGTGACTATGGAGCCTGCAAGAAGGTCCCCAAGGTCCCGGCCACCTTGACTTTGACCCTGGAGGAGCGGTGACCGTTGGCGGCAGTGAGAACAGCCCACACACCACCAAAAGCACAAGCCTCTGGGAACAAGAACCTCTCCCGGCGGCTGGGGGTTGTCACTTGGACCCCTAGCTCTGAGCCCATGCCCCCAGCAAACGCCAGCCTCCCTCCCTCCGAGAGCAGAAGGTAAGATGACTCGGTTGAGCGAGGATGCTATTCCTGCTCAGGACCAGTGAGCAAGAGGCGAGAAAGCCAGGCTGGCACCGAGATGCCCAGACACAGGCCGGGCCCCAGGCTTGCAGCAGGGAGGGAGCCCAACCCAGACATGCCCTTGGCTGGGATGAGAGTGTAATGTGTGTGCTGGAGGCAAAGAACCAAGAAGTAACTTGGCTCCAAGCCACTCCCTTTAAACAACAACACCACCTTCAAGATGATTCCGTCATCTGGAGGCAGGCCCGTCGGACTGGGACAGTCAGCAAACTGTTTCTTTTGTGTGTTTGGTTTTCTCCCTCCTGACCCCATCCACCTCTCCCAGACTGTTACACGGGACACTCACTTCCCACTGTCCAGCCAGACCGTGAGATGGGGACTCCAGAAAGGCCGCAGAGGGACAGGTCCAGGTGGACACCAGCACCCAGGCCAGCAACATGTATCCCTCCAGCCTCTCCGCGCCTGTATTCAAGGCTGTCCCCAGCTCAGCCCAATCCACTGCACATTGGGAGAGAGAGCCCTGCGTGCAGAGCCGGGTGTCTCGGGCTGGCTTTGTGGTTGTGCCCAGCTGCCAGCAGTCATTCCTTCTCTGACCCTGTCCCCACAAGCTCATGCCGCACTCCGGCTCACTGAAATAGAGCAGTCTCATGTCCTCACACACCTCTCCATCCAACTGCCTGGGCTCTGGCTGGCCAGCCTGCTGGGTGTCCATTGTGTTCCTGGCTTGTCCACGGTCCCTGTGGTGATGTGAGCTGCCTGGTCTTTGGCTCATGTCTGTAGTACCTCTGCATACTTCCCTGCTGCTTACTGGGGGCCTTGCACCCTCCTGCCCCCTGTCTCTAGTCCCCATCTGTGGCTTTCTCCGCTTTCTCTCAGCGGGGGGTGGCCCCCTGCACTCCACTGTGGACTTGATCCCAAGTGTCGACTTCCAGCCCCCTTCCGGAACAAACGGCACAAGGTTTTCTGTAGAAAAGCCACAATTGCCTCCCCTCCCCAACCCCTCTTTTCCTTTGTCCTGTTAATGTTTTTCAAACAGTGTGTTTTTCGGTATGCCAATCATTTGTTTTCAGAAACGCTTTTGTAAATATCTTTGTGAATATTTTAGTATCGTCTTTGATAATACTCCACATTTTCACGACCTGGTTATAGCCTTTGCTGGTGTTTTTAAAATGTCTTGACTCAACAACAGCTGAGTCCTTTTTTAAAAAAGAAAACGAAAAAAGCAAACAACTACAGCAACACGTACACAAAAGCAATCAGGGCTACTTCTGCAATTGAAGGGACAAAGAAGGGGCAGCGGTGCTCGGAGTTGGAAGACCAGCAGCCCACTGTGGAGACTCGCCCCCACTTGACTGGGGGGACAAAACCATGCCAGGTAGCATCTGGCCACACCTGCCTAGTGCCCGTTAGTCCCGGAAGGGCTGGCCATTGGCCGTGCTTTGTCCAAACAGCCCAGACAGACTTAAACAGATGCCTTCCCAAGAAGTTCCTGTTTCCCACCCTAGTACTTTATCCTGACGTCCTTTCTGGCTCTTACCCAGGTGTCTCCAGATGACTCACTGACCTGTCCACAACGGTCTAGTGCGAGGAGCCATGATGCTGCTGTATCCCAGCCTGCAGGGCACCTCCCTGGACTTCCCCCAAGAAAGTGTGGGCTTAGCAGCCAAGGCTGCTCCTGGGGTCCCCTCTTATGTAAGCCTCCACCAGCAAGTTACGCACGCACACACTTTTCCTTCCAACCGGCTCTGAACCTAGGTGCCTGCAGCCCACGCTCGGGGATGTCGTCTTCCACAGTGGTTTTGGTGCTGGGGCCTGGGGCGGGAGGCAAACAGGTGTGGCCCAGGCTGGCGAAAGCTCTCGGACTGACGGGTGATAACCTTAGGAAGGGGAAGTGCCAGACTCTGGAGAGCTCTTTCCCGAACTCTTCTTGGACAACTATTGGAGCCATAAGTAACCTCAGCAAAAACAAGGCCTCAGCAAGCCACTTTGCCACGACCAGCATCACCCGAGCCATGGGCACATTGCAGCAGCCACTCCACAGCAGGTGGGTGGCAGGCAGGCGGGGAGGGCCAAGTACAGGCAATCACTCCCATCTTCCTGGTTTGAAGCTTTACCTTTGTATCATGGTCTCTGTAGCCATTTACTTTTAAGTAATGTCTAATAATTCTTCCCTCGTGGAAGTCCTAACTGCCCCCGCCCCCGACTCCCCGAGAGCTGCACCTCAGTTCCCCACGAGCCTCCACCTGACCCATCCAAACACGGCAGTGTCAGCAGCGGTGACACAAGGGACATGTGTACATATGTAAATGAGAAATAGAGACATGTTAACAGATGCATTCATTTCCCTTGGAATGTGTATTGTTTTTATTTTATAAAACCACAAAAAAGAAAAAAAAAGAAGCTTGGAATTCCATCTTACGTGGAAAATAGATCCCATTTGTTGGCGTTTGTGAGGGCTCCGCGCGTGTCTCACGATGTAATATACTCGGGGCCTGTGTGGAAGGACTTTCTGTTCCGCTTTGTGTTATTTTACCTCCAGCGTACTAGTCCTCCCACCTGTGTATTTTTAGGGTGCTACGGGGAAAACAATGGAAAGAATGGGGATTTCAAGAGAAAATTGTAACCAAATTCATACTTTGTATAATTTTTGATATCATGATCACAGGTGATTCACGCATACATCAACACCCACAGGAGTACAGTCTAACATCACTCAGAATACACCATCGTCCTTGTACAGCGACGTACAATGCAGTCATTTCATACCTTCAACTGGTCAGAAAATGAATTGTGGTTTCTAGTCTTGCAAAGCTGTATGTAGTTAGAGGATGTGACAACCTTTAATATTTATCTAATAAATATGTATTCAGATGAAACCTGTATATTAGGTGTTCATGTGGTTATTTTGTATTTAAAGATCAAATTATTTGACTATTGCTAGACATTTCTATACTCTGTTGTAACACTGAGGTATCTCATTTGCCCATGTTAATTTTTTTCTAAATAAACTTACAAAAATGAAGGTGTGGTGGATTAACTATTTTGTGACATAGAAGTGGTTGCAGTCACTAGGTTTCTGTTTTAAACCACCACCTCCACCACACACACACACACACACTCACACACTCACCCACACCCCACAAGAAAGAAAGCAGCCAAGTGGTCTGAGTATTGAAGCGGAAGAGCCCTGCAAGAAGCCTCCTCACAGAGGAGGTGTTCTGTCATTCAGCTGCCTCCTTAACTGGCATGCAGGCCCCTGTCTCCATCCGGCAGGCCTGACCCTGAAGAGGGTGGGCCTGGCCTAGGCAGAGGAGAATGTGCAACTGTGAGGGTCTCTCCGGGTAAATCCCTGACGGACTCTTCTGTATTTAAGAACAAAAACCTGTTCGTCTACACTCAGATCCCAGAGGGAACAGGCCAAGACATTCAGAAATGAAGGCCAGAGCCCCAGCCAGGCTCCACAACCCAAAGGGGAGTTCCGTCGGTCACCTCCCGGGCCAAAAGGATGCCCTGGTGGTATAGTGGTTATGCTGTGCGCTCAGCAATTCAACACAAAGCCCCAGGGACAGTTCCACCTGCCCCTCAGGGCCACCGTGAGTCAGAATGGACACAACGGCAGTGACTGATTTTTTTCTGTGCCAAGTGGGGTTTTCTCTGACCCATAATATCTTCCTGATCATAGTTCTAATTGCCCTACAGTCCCAGCTTCCAGCCTGCGCCTCATGTTTAAGCTCTGGGGCTGTGAATCTGATTCTGGAGCCCAGCTGCCAATTACTGGCCCTCCTTGGAGCTCCGGACACTGGCCACCATGGCCTTGTACTTCAGCAGAGGCTGAGGCGGAGGGTAAGCCCAAAGAAGGAAGTGGGGGCTGGGCAGGCACTCCAACATTCACCCACTGAAGTGTGTGGACTGTGAAAACATGTTTGACAAGTGTGGGGGTGATATGTGCCATGGAAGGCAAGCATGTTCCGTGAGAGCTTCCACAAAGGGTAACCTCAGGCTCTCTGTTGTCTGAAAGCAGCAGTTGGTCCCTCTTGGTCCCTGAGTGTGGCCTGTCAGGTTATAACCAGCATCCCCCCACCAAAATGGGAGAGAATGAAGTCAAAAGCAGCCAAGGACCACCCCACCAGGTAAGGGTTATACGCATACCAGTTTGTTGTTGTTGCAGTTGTTTGGTAAATCATGAAGTAAAGTTAATCCTTCAATTGTGGGCTGTAGTGAAAAGCCAAAAGTTGAATGACATGGCCTTAAAGGCCAGCAGTGGGTGGGCGTATGGGAATAAGGAGGGAAGGCACAATGTTCCCCCAAGGCAGCGGTTCTCACCCTGTGGGTTGTGACCACCTTGGGGGTCGAATGACCCTTTCATAGGGGTCACCCGATTCACAACAGTAGCAAAATGACAGTTAGGAAGTAGCAACGAAGCTAATTTTCTGGTAGGGGGTCACCACCACATGAGGAACTGTATGAAAGGGCGGCAGCATTAGGAAGGCTGAGAAGCACTGCCCTAAGGTCAGGTCAGAGCAAACGTGCTTGCATTCTAGCGGGAGGGCCCAATGCCAGGACACAGGCCCACACAGAAGCCGCGGCTCACTGTCCACCTCAGCTGAATTCTGTGGCCTACCTCGAACCCCCCGGGAATGCTACCTCCAGAATGTGGGTGCTCACCTTTCCCCTGCTGGCCGCGCGCCCCCACACCCAGGGCCACCTGCCTCATGCCTCCAGCCCAGAGCAGGGGTTCTCAACCTTCCTAACGCCACGACCCTTTAACACAGTTCCTCATGCATGGTGACACCCAACCACAGCATTATTTTCATTGCTGCTTCATCGCTGTCATTTTGCTACTGTTATGAACCATAATGTAAATATCTGATATGCAGGATGTATTTTCATTGTTACAAATTAAATATTAGTGATTAATCACAAAACAATATGTAATTATATATTGTAAAATATTTATGTGTTTTCTGATGATCTTAGGCAACCCCTGTGAAAGTGTCGTTCTTCGACACACACCCCCAAAGGGGTCACGACCCATGCCATAGCGCCTCCTGGGTCCTGAGTTTCCTCCAGTCTACCCCACACAGCCCCATGCTGAGCCATCAATAGAGATCAAAGCTAATGCTCTGAAACAATAACATCGTATGAGGAGACCAGCTAGCCCTGTGCTGACAAGTTTATTTCATAGGCCCTCTGCCATCTTCAGGAGCCCTGCTGGCATAGTGGTTACATGTTGGGCTGTCATCTAGGTCAGCAGTTCGGAACCGCCAGCCACTCCCGGAGAAAGACGGGGCTTGCTACTCCCATGGAGAGTTACAGTCTTGGAAGCCCACAGGGGGCAGTTCTTCCCTGACCTGTAGTTGGAGTTTCTTCCATGTTCCAGACTCCTGGAACTCCAGAGGACAGGGCTTGAACACCTCTGGACCAGGCACCCTGCACAGAGCCCTTCAGAAGTACTCATGGACTGCAGACACCATGATGGGCCCTGCTCTCAGCATCCCTAGCCGCCCCCCGGAACTTGACTCTCTCTTTACCACCCCCATCCCCCAACACACCACCCCGTTTTGTCAATGGTCTCCCTTCCTCTGCAGTGTCACACTAGACTGTTGGGGACGCCGACTCACTCTCCTCTCTCCCTGGAAATGCCACCTCTCCATGCGCAAGGGGGCCATGTGTGTCCATGCCAGCCCTGCTGAGTCTCAGCCAAGTAGACCAGGATGGACACATGGCCCCAAGCACTAGCTGACCAATGTTCAGCCAGATTTGCTTCTCCACTCTAGAGCTGGGCTTGCGGCACAGAAACTCAGTATGGCTTCTTAAAAGCAGTTGAGTTTCAAGGCTAGCCCCTCTGAACGGCTCCTCAGTTCTTCAAAGCTCTTTGTTACTACACTGCTTCTTTGTCTTTGACTCATTCCCTCCCTGCAGACTGTATGACTTCCCTGGCCTTTTTCTGAACGATTTGCTATCAACCGTCCCATCACTAGAACAAAGGGCAAGTTAGAGCTTTTCACTGAAAGACTACATGCTACAATAGAAAGACGTGCCAGCAAAAGCCCCGCCTCGGTGGGCTTGAGAGAGTCCGGTCCCACGAGTGGCCCTCTCATCCTACTACGGTCACTCCCTTGTCCAGGCTGCAGGGTGCGCTCGGGAGGCCAGAACGGCCACTCCAGGCAGATTAGCCCTGGCCAGGTGAGCCGCACACCTGCGGCTGTCGGCTGACCCAGTGACTGACACCAGGCTCTGAAAGTGAAAGTTTATTGCCCCCCGGGCCCAGCACCCCCCCTTTTGGTGGGAACGGTATTCGTTTCTTTGGGGGAATCACTCCACAGCTCTTCCTGCGCTCACTGCCACGATGCCTCTCTGGCCGTCAGAACAGAAATGAAGGGATAAAACCCAAGTAGAGCCAAGGGCCTTCACCGTGGGTCCCGAGGGATGCTTTCACCACTGTCACGTGTGAGCCATCGCCTCATCACGAAGGCATGCCTGCACATCCTCCCTCCAGCGTCCCTTACGAACTGCACGCCTCCGGGGGAGGCGGAGCCCAGAGGACGATGTCATGCCCAGGTGGTGTTGATTCACTTGAGCCAAGTGAGAAAGCAAGCTGAGGACAATCCTGGCCTGTGCTGCCCAGTCTAAATGAGGGACTCGTGGGCAATGTCCTGAGACGGTGACCCGCCTCGCTGTGACTGGCCCTGGGATCTCCCTGCGCTGAGGACGCCAACTCCCAGTCTTCAAAGCCCATCAAGTCACAGGGAACCTGCCCGTCCCCTCTCCAGCCGTGTTACCTTACACAAGTCAGCCATTGTCCGCGGTTACCCCATCGGGACAGTGGGTGTCCTGTGCTTCCTCACCACCTCTTCACAACCTTGCTGGCCCAACAGGAGAGGTGAGCAAGCTCTGACAAGTCTGTGAACTTGAGGAGGCTGCCATCCTCTGATTCCTTCACTCGTAGAGCTCCAAGCCCCACCGCTCAGAGTCCCGAGGTGTTAGTGTGGAACGGGAGAGTGGACACATGGACGAGGCTTTGAGGAAGGCACCGTCTGTCTAACACAGGCCTGACATTCTCTAAGTGCTCAGTAGTGCTGTGCGTGCAGACAGTCTCATCGCATGCGCTCTGTGGGGTTCGGTTTGTTTTGCTCAATGTTGGGTCGTCAGTACCTAGAACAGGGCCCAGCACACTCACAGCAGGTCTTAATCATTGATTACTTCCTGAATGAAGGAATGCACAGAAGAGGGGAAGAGGGGGAAGGAAGTCTTTCTGGAGCTGTCTGGTGAGACAGCATTCCAGGAAGAAGGAATAGGATGTGCCAACACGCGGAGGTCTGGTGACACGGAATGGAGCGAGAGATGGCACAATGGCTTCGGTGCTGGCAACAAAGGCAGACGATGTTGAGGAATCTGATTCAGGGAAACTGGGTCTTTACCCTCAGGTCCTGGGGAGCTACAAAGCTAAATAATTGCCTGTATGAGAGTCTGTGTTTTAAATGCTTTATTGAGGTACTATTCATATGCCAAGCAATTCACTCATTTAAAGCATACAATTCAATTGTTTTTAGTATAGACACCAGGTTGATTATCCAACCCTACAATCTATTTTTGAACACTTTCATCACCCCAAGAAAAATTGCATATCCTTTAGCTATCACCTATCATCTCCCCAAGGCCTAGATGGCCACTGACCTTCTTTCTGTCTTCATGAATCTGCTTATTGTGAACAGTGCATATGAATGAAAGCCTACAATGTGTGGTGTTTTAGAAATAGCTACTTTCACTTAGAATATTTTCAAGGTTCATCTATGTTATAGAATGTGTCAATATTCCATTCCTTCAAACTACTGAATAATATTCTTCTGGACATTGGGCTTGTTCAGACACACTTTGTTTTTAATCATTTTATTAGGGGCTCATACAACTTTTATCACAATCCATACATACATCAATTGTGTAAAGCGCATTTGTACATTCATTGCCCTCATCATTCTCAAAACATTTCCTCTCCACTTAAGCCCCCGGCATTAGGTCCTC